CCCCCCCCGGCTCCCAGAAGCAGCAGCAGCAAAACCTCCACCAGCAAAACCTCCTGGCTGGAGCAGCCTCCAGTCCCATCCACCACCATCCTCATCCATCACTGTCCCCATCTGTCCCCATCCCCACCTCCCTGTCCCCAACCCTCCAGCTGAACCCTCCCAGCTATTTTCCACCTTCACCTCCACCCCTCTCTGGCCTCACTAGTTCATGTCTATATTCCCCTTTTCTACCTCTAAACGGGGACCAAAAAAAACATCTACCCCGGCTCCTCCAAGTGGGAACATCCCCATCCTGGTGGGAAAGATGCTCCCCTCCCTCTGCTCCATCCCAAGAAGCCACCTCTGCACATCCCAAGCCACTTGGCCCAGGGACAACCCTCCCGTGGCTCTGCCAGAGCAGCATCTGCCAGGCTGCCCCAGCTGGGCAGGAGCCAACTTTTGGGGAATCAAACGAAACTCCCCATTTCTTGCCAATGCCAGGGGTACATCTATCCCCTTCCTACTGGTACTTTTGGATCCCACGGGACCCACCGTTGGCTCTTCTGCCAGGCTTCACCCCACCAGCTCTCCCAGTTTGCCAGCTCAAAACTGGTTTGCATCACTGTGCTCTCCCAGCATCACGGTAACCACGGCAACGCGCTGGCTCTGGACCACGTCCCACCAGAAGGATCCCAACCCATCCCTGATCTCACAAGCTCAGGAGGCGGAAAACTTGAATCCCAAGCTGAGGAACGGGGTTTGGGGTGGGTGAGGGTGGAGGGACACGCTGCCTCTCCTGGGGGTCCTGCTGCCCCCCCGGCATGGGAAGGGGGAAGGGAACCTGCCCGGGAAGGCGGAAGCGAGACCCGGACGACCCGTTTCACAGAACAACCCGTTCCCTCCTGCCAACACCCACTGCCCTGGGTCCCCCTGGCTCCCGGGAAAGGCCTTTCCCTTGGGATAGAGGCAGCCCAGGGTGGGAAGGGGTGGAGTGACCAAGACCTGGAGCGTCATTGTCCCCTTTTCTTCTCACTTTTTGGCCTCAGCTTTCCAAGCTGCCACCCCCCTGGGGCGGAAGGCGCCGTTTCCTGAGGCCTCGTGGCGGAAGCGCCCGAGGTCCCCGAGGTCCCTGTCACCCCCCCGGGGCCCCACCCGCCCCCCCACCCCCCGCGG